GAAAAAAAAAAAAAAAAAAAAAAAAGTTTGAAGTTGTAATATCACCAACCACCACTAGATGGCTGACATGTCTGAGTTGCGGTAAGTTTTATTTTTTTTAGAAAATGCTGAATTTGCTGTTTACCCCCCCCCACCCGCCTAATATGATTCCGGGCCTTTTATTTCCATCCCCGTGTCGGCTCACAACAATTAAAGTTAAACAGCGAGCGTGGGAAATCGGGCCTCGGCGCTTTCGAACTGCACATCACCCAGGGAGAGGCCTGATGCCAACGTAGAACATTGCAATTAAAACGCACTTCTCCAGTTGCTTCAATCAACAAATAAGGACTTCTGGGACGGCCATTCCTTGCGGTCGGAATTAGACAGCAGGCAAGACGGCGGCGGGGCTTTGGACGTAGTGATTTACGAGCCACTTGATGGATTCCCCCCCCACCCCCTCCCTCTTTTTTTCCGCAAGACAAAGGCCGCCCGTGACAACAGTGCGAAGTGTAGTAACGAGGGCAGGGTGATGAGGTTCCAGCTGTTGCGCTTTGGCAGATGCATCATCTTGCCGTCACTCACTCGCGCGACCGGCGTGGCTTTGCTCTGGGGGGTGAGCGCAACAGAGATCGGACCAAGTCCAACTCCGAGGATGCGGACTCCGCCCCCTCCAACTTCTCGACCGCTTTTTTTCAAGCACGCAACTTGGACTAAGTTGAAGTAGCCACCAAAAGTTCGTGGGGGTGGGGGGGGGGGGCATAAAATGATTTCAACTCGGTGCGGCAGGTTCCCCGAATTGTACTTTTTCTATTTTGATCCCAATGAAGACGAATGGAGCCAGTGCATAATCGCACACGCATTGATCACGCTAATGATGATCCTGTCAGAAATGGCAATGACAGACGTGTACAGTCGCCACCCCGCCCCCATGAAAAAATAATGAGACAAAAAAAAAATGGAAAGGAGTGAGTCGCGTCGGAATCGCATTGGGCCAAGTAAGTTAAGGCAAAGTTTTGGTGTGTTATAATTTTATTCTGCCCAAAATTTGAACCAGCCCCCCACAAATAATCCAGATGTCTGGCCCTAATTAAAACTTTTTTTTTTCCTCCAGTTCATCAATTAATCACCAAAATAGACATATTTTTCAATTATTAAAATAGTCGTTTGTTACAAGCCCTAATTGTTTCCTCGTTGCATTAATAAAGGATGCCTAATGTGCAATTCGGATTACATTTTGATTCATTTTGGGATGGGATAATCTTCAAACTGCTATTTTATATTTGAGACCATTGGCAGTAAATATATTAACAACAACATAAACCTAGAATCTTTTTTTTTTTTTAAAAAGCTGTCTTCTTGCCACACCGTTGCAGAGATAACTGAATGCACCAAACGCGACAGGATGCATTAAAAGCGCATGTATCCCGCCCGCCCGCCCGCACGCACAGTGGACCAAATTGGACTTGTAAGCGCCCTATTTCTAGCACATCAACAACTGTTGAGAGCGTACACTTGTAGTTGAATAAAACATGCTATTTTGCCGGCACACGCTGTCACACACATCACAGGGGAAACTGCGGGGTGAGCGCTTCTTGACTGCCTAAGCAGCATCCCAATTTGGTCGCCGCTACCAGCGGTTGACAGGCTGCGATATCTGGGGAGTAGTTTTTTTTTTTTTTGGAAAGGCCAGTGTTTGATGGATTCATGAAGAACACACAAATATAATTGCCATTTGTCACCGAGTCTTCAGCGCTTTCGCCACACGGGGCCCCGAGCGCCCGAGAGCCCGGAGCTGAGCGGAGGGGGAAGGCGGGGCGGCGCGTGGATCGCTCTTGAACGTCAAAAGCAACACCTCGGGAAAATTGATCCGACAGGAGAAAGTTGCACCCAAAAGACACAAGCCGTGTTCCAAAAGGAGCAAACGGCAGCTCGCTCGCAAATGCTAATTCCGCGCGACGGTTTTTTTGTGCAGCAGCATTAGCGAAGCGTGCATATAAATATATACTTTTTTATTTTGTTTTTTTTGCCGCGCTCTGCTGCGCATGTACATCCAGACATGATTGAAATGCTAATTTGTAAAATGTGCAATGACCTCGCCGGAGTCCGCCCTACCACCAGCACTGGCAAAACAGCCCCAGGTATCATCTCTCCTCCTCCGAACAAATAGCGGCGGGTGCGCGCTCGGAAGAACCCCCCCCGCCCCGCCTTTCAATCCAAAGGGATCTATTTTCTCATTAGAAATTGTACATCTTCCAGGTTCATATTTATAGACGCAAAACCGGGGGAATTATACGGGTGAGTGTGGCGGGGCGGGGGAGGATATATCGTCCAATGAATGTTATTACAAGAGGCCTCTGATTGAAACGTTCCTTGGGCGGATCAAAGCCATGTTTACCATTTGACCTTCCAAACTTGAAGACAAGGACTTTCTTTGAAATATGCAAAAGACGCGCCTGGGCTGGGAAACAAGCCGCCACAATAAAAGTATCTTAGCATCCAGCAGATGGTTTCTGTCGGACCTGGATTCGTTGTCGAGACTCAGCCGATTGCGTTTTTGTTGCCATGGCGACATCTCCAACGCCCAACTTCCATCCGGACCATCAAAACTCCCTTTAACGGGAACGCGGTCTAGCCTCGCCTCCTCCCGCCGCCTGCTTTTTCAGCAGCGTTATGTGGAATTTGCCAGTGTGCTAATTCGAGCGCTCGTCCCGTAGTAAACGCTCGCCTGGCTTCCAAAGTGTTTGTGTCACTCTGATGCAATTTCCTCTTTCTCGCGCACACACTCGCAAAGAGTGACCGACGTTGACTCAGACCCCGCCCTTCTCAACTCCAAACAGGACTGAGTGACTGAGAAGAGGAGGAGGAGGAGGAGGAGGAGGAGGAGTAGCTGTGGGAGGGCATTGCGGGCGTCTGAGCGATGACTCAAATATTCCGCCGGCTTCGCCATCCGAAGGAAGTTCAAGCGTTTGCATCCGCGTGGCCCTGCCGAAAGGCCAAACGCATCTGAGGTGTGACTGCCAGTCACAGAGAGGATTGGCAGTCTATCAAAACGGCCCCCGGCCGAGTTCCTTTATTTGCTCGGGAGCGATCTGGGCATTAACCCTCCGCTAATGGGACAGCTGTGGGTCAGCGCCTCGCATCTTGGGGATGCCAATCAAAGCCCTAAGCTGAGAGAGATCAGACTTGGGGACCGAGTTGCTCGTCCGCCTCTGAGTGGCTTCTCAAACGCGGAGACGCCGCGATCGATTTTTAGCTCCGGCGGCTGGATGGCTTCAGCCTGAGACGCAGTCTGGATGGCAGCCATCCCCCCCCCGGTCACCCTCCGCTGCTCAGGGCTGGGGGGGGGGGCCCTGACAGAATGACCTCGCAGCGAAGGCGTTGAACCTACAAACACGCGGGGGCCAGCGGGGGCAACACCAGCACAGATCTCAGTAATAGAAAAGGGTTTTAACCTTAATGTTGGAGCCAAAACCCTGTTAGAGGCCACGTAATCCCCCCCTGCGCCGCTCTCATTTAAACCGGCTGGAGGTTTTTCTTCCCCCCCACCCGCTCTATGAGCAGCTTTGGAAAAGATTCCAGTCACGTGCGCCGGTAAACAAGTCTGCCGTCAACATTTTTTTTTTCAGTGCTTCACCTCAACGCGTGTGGTTTCACAAGGTGTCAAAAAAGTGCCTCGCTTGCGATGGAAAAACGCTCAAAAATGGCAGTTCACGCTCAAATATTTTTAAGCAGATATCGAACAACCGGTACAGAGGTTTATTTTTTTTAATCGACGTAGTGTTGAGAAGTTGGGGCGCCTAGGCGAGCAAATTGGTCTCCGTCTCCAGCCCCGCGAGTGACATTTTGCGACCGAAAGGTCAATTGGTGTTAAAATAACCGCAGGGCGAGAACTCTCTTGTAAAGTTAAACAACACTCTTAAATCAAATCCTTTCTTGACATCATCGCGGCGCGCATAACTAATCGCGTGGCTCGAGTACAGCGGCGATTAGAAAGAAAAAGAATACGCCGGGGCACCGAGTAAAATATGCTAATTAACACACTTGAAATTTCCCATCTGAAATGTATCTGTGGCAAGACAATGAGAAAATAATTACAACAGAGGTAAAATTACAATGGCCATTTTAATCAACCCCTGCGCTAGCGTTTCACCCTATTTATGCCATTTTGGATTCCGCGACCTACTGCTAAGTAATCACTTGAAAATAACGGCCGAGTTCATAATGGCTCCGTACTTTCCAGGCTTTGTTTCCGCGCACTCGGGGGGGGGGCGGGCGCTCGGAGGACTCCAACGAACATGTGGAAAAAGTCCTCTCGAGTGCTCCGACAACTTTGCGGCAGCTCGAAAACGTCGATTTTGTCTGGCGCACCCGCGACCCCTTTGAGTCGACTCCCCCTTGTCGCCGTTTTGCGCGTCAATCATCCACGAGGAAATCTATTTGGCTTCACCTATTACGTGTCACAAATTCACTTCCAAAAGAGGTCAAATGGAGCGCACCGGTAATCACCTTGAAGGTGCGCCGCTCGAGTCCAATCAGAGAGTCGCACAAAAGGGCGAGCTTCCTTTCAAAACCGAGCGGTGTTATTTGACGGGCTTTTCTGACGACGGATAAAAGCGGCACGTGAGGTCATCTTCGGCGGGCATTAAAAAGTATTGGACAATCCGCGGACGATTAAACTCCTCCAAACGCCCGCCATCTACTCGCGGGGGAAGCCAAGGGAGTCGGGCGGGGTCCTGCGAGCGGGAGATACGGGCGGCTGGAAAAGCCCAAAGTGTCTCTCGGGGACCCTCCAGGACGGAGGAGCCACTGAGGACGCCTTCCCCCGCCGACTTCCGGCCCGGCGGGAGATTTTTGTACTGTGACCATCCGAGGGCGTCGCTTTTGCCAAACGCTTTTTGAAATTAAAAGTCAGCTACGTGCAATCGAGTTGACTTCCTCGTGTCGCGAGAGAGAGAGAGAGCGGGCGGCGCCGGCGTACGCGAGCTTGAACTCCGACGGCGAAGGGGAGAGCTCAGGGGCGGGATGCAGCCAAGCGGATGATCTCTTATTGATTTCCTGTTGCTGCGGCCAATGGAGGCTCTTCATTAGCACGTGTGAGAGCCCCCCCAGGGGCAGACGGGAGGATGACAATCAAATGCCCAACTTTAGATTTTCAAACTAATATATTGTTTGAGGTGTGATTAGATTCACTGTGGGAGGGGGGGCAAGATAAAATACAAGGCAGAGAGAGCTCTTGTTAGGAAGGCATCTGGGCAGGCACATTTTTCAAAATCCCCCCCCCCCAAAAAAAATTGCAACAGTATCTGCTGGTGAGAAGTAATAAACCCCGAGCAGGATTTCCTCCTGGATCGGAAGCAGAAGGACAATGGGAAATGCGAGGCCAAGCTGGGACGGAATAAGACAGCGAACGAGGGCTGCCGGCTTCCTCCAGGTGCCATCTTGGCGTTATTGCGACTGGAAACGGCGGCGCTCGTATTTCAGTTGGCCGACAAACTCGAGGCCTGGTGCGAACGCGCGGTCGAACGAGCAAAACATCCGCTCTTGACGGATTATTTCGCTGTTCGCTAAGATATCACTCAACCGGCAGAGTGCGCGGCGACGGACACGCAACAGCCAACTCACGAGTATTTCCCAACATGTTGCGTTCCTGTTTGGTCAAACGTACTTCTTATTGGCCCGCGGTGGTCCTCCCGGGTCACGTGACTGGACGATGCTTCGGAGTCACAGGCATCTACGGTCAAAAACATTTCGTGTTAGCTCCGGAAAGAAAAAGGAGGAAAAAAAAAAAAAACAAGTCAAACTCCAAAACACACGTCAATGTTTACAACAAGGTGACATTGCTGGCAGGGGCATGAGCTAGGGGGGGAAAAAAAACCCAAAACAAAAACACTTTGAATAAATGGTTGCGCAATTCACAGTGGTTGGTTGGGACTGGTTCAAGGGGAAGGCTGCTTTCCCAGAGTTCTGGATCTCATTCGCAGCGCTCGTGCCTCCGGCTGGGCTCTACCTGCCATGAAAGCCGCATTCACGTCCAAGTGGAAAAAAGTACGCCAGCGTCAACGGCTTCACGACTTCTCGTCTCGGGTCCAGTTCGGAGCCACGTTTGTCGCTCTCGTCGGAACGACGCTCACAATTTGGCCGGGCCGGAGGGGAGTGATCTTCCACTGATGGATCGAAGCCGCGGTGGGTGGGGGCGGCGGCGGGCCGGGATAGATGCGGCGGCGTTGGGAGATGATGTATGGCAGCGACGTAGCCGTTAGCGGCGCTACTTCGTGATGCATCGCAGTATTTAGCGATTGCGGTTAGAAATGAATTGGCCTACTGCCGCTACATCCCCGCTCCCCCGGGAGGGAAAATCCAGTCTTAAGCGCAGACGCCTTTGAAGGGGCCCGGCGAAAATCCATTCGCAATCCAGCAGCCTGACTGATTGCTTACTTTGTCCTACTTTGCTATTTTTTGACAGTGCCGTAATGATGCTGGGTATAAATAGGATGGTTAACGCTTCATTGCTTGTTGGAAGAAAAATGAAAAAAAAAAAAAAAGGAGGGTGGGGAGTGGGGCGGGTTGGATTATTTTACATGTGATAATCTAACGAGAAAGTTAATTTAAAACTATAATTGGGCTGTGGTTTTCTGTTCCTAATCACCGGGGCGCTTTTGTACAAGAAAGGAAGACAAAAAAAAAGGCGCATCACTTCACAACTGCTTGAGGGAAGTTTTGACTCTTTTAGCTGCAAAAGAAAAAAAAAATATTTGCAAAAGCAACCGGATTGGAAGTCAGATATGGTTCTGCACGTCCTATATATACAAAGTCCCGTTTCAGTTTCGTCAGACAAAAAAAAAGGCGCATCACTTCACAACTGCTTGAGGGAAGTTTTGACTCTTTTAGCTGCAAAAGAAAAACAATTTACCGTGAGTGAGGGGCGGCAAATGGGATGTAGTCTCCAGCTGGGGGGTCCCGGCTGGCCCACGCGTAGGGTGGCCGCTCTCCGTGGACATGAGACCGTCAAGTTCTTCTGCGGCGAGTGGGGGGGGTGAAAAGTCACCTCGTTGGGCTTGGACAAACAAAACAACGCGGTCAGACGGACAGACAGACAGACAGACAGCTTGGCTGCAGTAGTAATGGAGGGGAGGAGGAGGGGGGGGTCGCATTTCGCCTCCTTTTTTCTCCCGACAAACTCGTTGAAAGTCGCGTGCAAACGTGGTTTCGAAAGACGCCGCTTACCTTTCACAACATGTCACTTTCTTCGCTCCACACGAGACTCGCTGCCATGCCTCCTTCTTCAAAACAACGACGGCTAACAACTGTCAACTTTTCGAGACGAAGTCGTGCGTGCGCCTTGCGGCGTCCGAAAGTTTGACTTCGCACAGATGTGCCTGACGTCCCAAACCTTTTTTTTTTTTTTTTTTTTTGGAGAGAGAGAGGAGAGTCGAGAACTTTTCATCATATCCGGATTCCTTCAGTTTCTTTCCTGCCTTGCTTGCACCGAATAAATCACATTTCACGTTCGCTTACAGACACCGGTCAAGTAAATAAAACTTAGAAAAAAAAAAAAGAAACGTTAAGGACAATACCAGCCAACGGAATTTAAAATACATTAACTCCAGAAATAAAAACGAAAGAAAACATTCACCACGACTGGATTTCCTGTTGCGTGGGCGTGTCCAAATCACGGACGTCAATCATCACCTGCGGATTCATTGATTAGCGTGCGCGGAACATCTTGTGCGCCAAAGCCAACGAATACAAATCCGAATACACCAACGGCCAGTTCCCGGCGTGCGTTGCGCCACTCACGCGCACCTCCGGCCTCATTTGCACCAACAAACATCGCCTATTGACCGTCAAGAGCGGCAACGTGAAATCCATATCGCAAACATTGACATCGAGGGACTTGTCCGAGAAGTGACGACAAATAAATACAGTTTTGGAAACAATTCATGCAAGTGTGAGCAATAAACACTTTTGCGCATGCATACACTTGAATGATGATCTCGATCAATGGAAACAACCCGTTCAATGGATGAGAAAGTATTGCGGTGGATGATTGACAGTTGAGAGAAGCCTTATTTTATAAATGGCACCTTCCTAATTATATCATCATTAAAATTTGTCAGCCTTGTGGACAACATTCATCTCTGCGGCGCGTGAAATTTATTTTCGCTCGCCGGTGACGTTGCGGAGGTGAGCAGAAGTGCAAAGGAAAGGCAGACGCTGTCGAAAGGCTTTTAAAGGACAGGTGGGGCCGGCGCCGCAAGATGGTGGACCTGACTCGGAAGCGCATGAGGAAAGATCGGCTCGCGGTAATCACGGAAACGGCTACGGCGAGAGGTCAAGCTGAAAAGTTGGCCGAAGCAATTTCAAACTTTCTCCGCAAAGTGCAATCCAAACATCCAATCGCAGCGCCTAATTCCGTCCAATTCATTTCCCCGCGTAATTCACTTGAAATAAATGTCCTCTGCCGAGTCAGTAGGGTATTGTTAGTGCAGTCAGTGTCTCGCTGATTGCCATCGTAGCCATTGAACCCGACGGTGTAAGTGAGATTTAAGCCCCGGTAACACGTGAGTGTGGAGGTGATTGATGTGAAATATGCCCTCCCTCATTGACTGGCTGAACTCCATTTTCTGCTCCTAATGCAGAAATCACTCCGGGTCCCCGGCATAATGATTTACGATGAATCTGTGTCAATGTTGAACTCGGCAAACCTCGCGTAATCCATCTTGCCGATGTACCTGGCAACCTCGCCCCGCCCTGCCCGTTCCCACGTCGGCGCCGACGACCCTCGCCTCGGCAGCGGGAAGCCTAGGCGCGCCGGCCGCGCCTATCCCTCCGCTAGAAAAGTGCTGAATCCATTACGGGGCTGATGTGTAATCACAGAGCGCCCCCCCCCCCCGGACCCCCTCAGACTGTAATTACCCGGATTCCGATACTCCCTCGCTCCATTCCCCGGAGCCGCTCAAAGCCGAGAACTCGGTTAACCGGCATGCAGTGCTGCCGGCGTGGGGGGCCGCCGACTTGAGCGATGTGGCCGAGGAGACGGAACTGGTCGGTACGATTCAATTTCACTCATAAGATTTTGGACCTTGCGGTGAGCAGTCAGTTCACCTCCGTTTTTGAATCGACTCCCCGCACGCACGCACGCCGACGTGCTGTGCGTCAGAACGGCGCGAAATCAACCCCGCTTGTCAGGGTTTGCATTTTTTTTTTTCCTCGCCTGCGGTTGACGGTGACAGCGCCGTTGCCGCTGACAAACATTATCTCGTGCGTGATCATGCGCTTACGACGGTGTCCCCCAAATCACACAAACACACCCACACACACACACACACACACACACAAGCCGCGCTGTCACACTTTGTCAAGCGGCGGCAGCAGCGTTGCATCTGTCGGCAGTCACATCTGGGAAGACACGACAGGGAAGCATCTCTCGCCGCTCACTTTGTCTTGTTTGTTTGGCACGCCGCCTGATTGCTGGAGTGTGGAAGGGGAGACGTGGAGATGACAAGTCAACCCCCCCCTCCTCCATCCCCTGCGCCCTCGTGAGCCGAGACAAATAGACTCGGCTGTGTTCAAGCAGGAGCTGTCACCTGGAGAGCAGTGACACAAAAAGGTGCCAGCAGCGCCGTTGACCTTTCGCTTTTCAAAGAACCGCAAAAACAGGGGGCGATTGTCTCAACACCACTGTTATACAAAGTGCTGCACACGGAGCAAAAAAAGAATTCATACGACAACAAACAGAGAAAACAATCCATTAATCACGCGCCAAAACAGTCAAACTCATAATTCGAGTCTCATGCTGAGTCAAAAAGAGGCCAGCGGCAGCATCCTGGACCAACTGGAGATGCTTCATGGAGGATTGGCTTCCTCCAAAGTCATGACAGTCATCCAGCCAGGATGTGATGCTAACTGCAAGATCTTTTTTTTAATGGTGTCCCTATTTTTGCAGTGCGGTCTAGAACGCACCGCGACAACAAACTGTATATGATAACCTGGATCATATCACAGGCTTCTGCTCAAACGAGGTTTCGTCTGGATGTCGCGCACAATCAAATGGGTCCTTGCCACGTTAAGAAACCGGAGGAGAGTTTGCAAAACTCGCCGCAAACTTTTTCAGGCTCCTTCAATCAGTCCTCCCCGAATGATCTTATTTTCCGTTCCGCCGACAGAAATAAAAACCTCGTCGCTGGCGTCGGGCGGAGGTGACGCTTTGAACGCTAACCTGCGACATCTGTAGCCCATTCGCATCTTCAAAGTTCCCTCTCGGTCCACGCCGACTGAGCGCAACTTAATGAGTGAGTACTTTTGAAGTTGACCATGACACCGGCTGCACCCTGGCACCCTCGCATGATTAATGGCGCCATCTTAAATCCTTGTTGTCGCCAGTAAGATGTCGTTTGAGGCCGCCCGATCAAAATCTCAGACTTTGCGTGAGGGCGGGCGGCCGCGGTCGCAAAAGGAAGAAGCCGCGCACCTTGATGGATTCGATGAAAGACAAATGCAAATAAACAGGCGCTGGGCTTGAATAATAACTTTGGACTTGCACATCTGGTGCACGAGCGCACGTAATCGGTAGCAAATGGTCGCGCGCGAGCACGGCCCTTCATGAATATGTATCCCGACGAGAAACAATAGCGGCGCTCGATGATTAATAGTGACATTAAAAAAAACAAAAGACCCGACTGGGAAGGTTATCGCAAGAACTCGGGCCAGACGGTGCAACGGCTGGTTCCAGGCCGGGGGGGGGGTGCGACGACGCCTGATTCCGAGCCATGTCCGCGAGGGCGTCAGATTGAAGTCGACACCCATCTGTTTGCCATTTGACCTTATTGATGCTGACCACGGAAAGCGGCGAGGGGGCGTGGCCAGAGGCCCAGCTGCACCGTGATAACGGCGCGTTTCAGGAAAGCTCCTCGTGATGTGGCCTTTCTGTTCCATCGACGTCACCAATGCGGGACATTTCACACGGCGCCGGACGACGACTCGCCAAACCTTTCGGATGTGTGCGCGTCACTCCGCCGAGGCGGCGTCCCGAGTTTAATCACGATGTTGTGAAACGAGCACGATGAAATGTTATGTGACAGTAAATCTGTTTATAGAGAGTCAATCAAATCTGTCACGGTTTATGTTGCCGCAATTTTCTGCAGATTTCTGTTGTTGTTGTTGTTTTTTTTTTTCTTCTCATACAATGAGGAACTTGTGCCGTTAAACATGTTTCTTTTTACAACCATCTCCCGGGCTTTCTTTTTTTTTTTCGGAATACGAATTCTCCCGTCAACACTAAATAAACCTCGAAATGGGACGATTTCACCGCAGAGAAAACTCAAACGTCTTCTTTGTCCTTTTTACCGCCTTTGTTGTCCGGCGTGGAATGCTAATCAAAAAAAAAAAAAGTCAGGCTGTTTTGGATTTCTGTGATCCTCCGCAGATTTGAGATTAGCATAAACCGTAAGCCGAGCTAAAGCGACAGTGGCTAAATTCACAGCGGGGGTCCTTATTTGTGAAGGCGTGACGCCCCATCGCATGGACGTCCTTTCTCCCCGTGGCACCAGCGTGGAGCCCGGAGTCTTGTGAGGCACCCCTCTGGGTTGAGGACGATCACATTCAAAATTCTTCTAAAATCAACATCTAAAAACGCTAATTCTGCGCAAACAAGCCGGCCCGCCCCTGCATATCCTGCACGCACCTCGATTAATTGGAACGCCCGGCCTGTGAGATTCCCAGATGAGGCTTTGACACGGCTAATCATGAAACAAGACAAATTCGGGAAGTGTTTGAAATCCCTCATTTCCCCAGCAGAAAGGTGAGTTTTAATTTACCTCATGCCGAGGCGAGCGCCGCTCACCTGCCGAGAGCCAATTCGCGGCGCGGCGCTCGATGCGCCGTGTGCGGATCGGATAAGGCGCGTCGTTAAAAATAGTCACACTCCTTTCTCCGTGCCAATTTATGGAACGCCGGTCAAATATTGATCCGGTTGATGAGCTTGGCCTGCGCGTTCGTCCCGGACAATCATTAAAGACAAAGCCGGAGCGAAAGGTGAGGAGCGGCCGTGACATCACTAGAAGGCGGCGACCTGACGGACGGACGGATGCCGTTGTGGATGTCCGTGACGTGTCAGGTGCAGAGTGTTCGCGCTTTCTTGAACGATCGCTCAGCACGCAGAGTGGCTAACATTCGAGCAAGTTCACCTGACGGCGTCATTCGTGCCTGCGCCTTACCAAGTCACACGCAACCAGTCACAAATACTACAGTCAGAGGATGGCAACTCCGAGTGGGCAAAAATAACGCACGTGCATATACTTTGGGATTAGCGGATATACATGCAGCTTTCCAATATACGGCGTGCAGTCCCATGCGAGCAACATCGACGCTATTGAGCATTAGCATCTAGTGGACCCAAATGCTAAGC